TTGTCCATACACATGGTAGAACGACACACTGGCTATATCACGCCCCAACACTCCCCTCCTGCCCTATCTCCCACCCCTGGTCCCTTTTCTCTACTGATCCCCTGTGATTTTTAGGAGATCCTCCCCGCTTTTCTTTTTTCCTTTCTAGCTTCTGCATATGACAGAAAACATACAACCCTTAACCTTCTGAGTTTGACTCATTTTGCTTAACATGATGGTCTCTAGTTCCATCAATTTTCCTGCAAATGTCATAATTTCATTTTTCTTTGTGGCTTAATAAAATTGTGGATATACTGACTTTATTCCCACCATCTGTGCATGAGTTTCCATTGTTTCATATTCTATACTCAACATTGACATGAAAAAATACTAAAATAAATGACCAGGTGATGATGGTACAAAAATATATAAAGTGAAAGTAAAAACCTTTTTCCCCAAGTTTTCCACTATCAGCAATTTTATAAGTATCATTCCATAAAAATTGGAATGTTATTTAAAAAATACATTTAAAGCGTTTTTTTTTTTTTTTTTTTAGTATTTATTTTTTAGTTGTAGTTGGACTCAAAATCTTTATTTTTATGTGGTGCTGAGGATTGAACCCAGAGCCTTGCACATGTGAGGCAAACACTCTACTGCTGAGCCATAACCCCAGCCCCTTTAAAGTATTTTTTAAACTTAATTTAAGTTTTATTTATATAATTGTTTTGAGATGGGATCTTGCTGTGTTGTCCAGGCTGGTCTCAAACTCATGGGCTTGAGATTCTCCTGCATCAGCCTCCTGAGTAGCTGGGACTACAGGTGTCCACCATGCCTGGCTCACAGGTATTTTTTTCTGTATACTGGAGAGTAAACCCAGACCCCCTTTCTGTACACTGAGCTACACCCCAGACCCCCTTTTATTTGTTGTGAGACAGGGCCTCACTAAGTTGCCTAGGCTGGCCTGGAACTTGATCCTCCTATCTCAGCCTCCTGAGTCCCGGGCTTCAGGTGTGCTCTGCTGTGCTTTTTTCTTTTTCTTTTTTTAAAATGACCATGGATATATCTGCCATGGACAGATCAATTTACAGATTTACAATTTACAGATGACCTCTGAGGATGATTTGACATGATTTATCAATTTACAATGGTGTTAAAGCAGTATGCACTTGACCGTACTTTTTATTTTGAACTGTGATTCTTTCCCAGGCTGGCGATAGATGGTACCATCCTCTGTTGTGAGGCTGGGTGGTGGCAGTGAGCCATAGCTCCCAGGCAGCCAAGATCCCAAGGGAAGATGATCCTGAGGTACCCTACAGTGGACTGTGTTGCCAGCATTTGGGGAGATTACAGTCACTCAGTAATTGCATGATTCAACAGATTATAAAACAGTTTGTGATGGATGATTTGACCAACTGCAGGTGGATGTGAGTGTCCCAACGCTGACGTAGGCGAGGCTGTGATCAGGAGGTTAGATGTGTTGAATGGATTTTGACTGAAGATATTTTCAATTCACTGTGGGTTTTTGGGACGTGATCCCATAAGTCAAGGAGCATCTCTCCAGATTGAGTTGTTGATGACATTTTCATGGAGCATCCACTACGTGCTAGGCACTCTTCCAGGAGCCTGGAGGGGCAGAAGCCAAGGTTCTGAGCATGCCTGGCATGATCAAGGGAGGGCAGAGTGGCTGGAGCAGGAGATGAAGTGGGCGGCGGTAGTCTTGAACCCCACAATGAGAAGAAGCCATCAGTTCTAGATTTATTTTGAATATCGAGTTTGCAGGATTTACTGATGGTGTGCACGAGGGACATGAAAGGAGTGTCGGATGACTCCCGGCTCTTGGCCTGAGCATATGGAAGGAAGTACGTGGAAGCTCTGTGTTGCAAGGCACAGAGCTGGGGGAAGACCCGAGGGGAGCAAGCTCTAGGAAGTGAGGAACAGAAGAGCAGGAGGTGAACAGCTTCAGGCAGTGGATATGTCAATCTGGAATTCAGGGGAGAGGCTGGGCTGGCCAGAGCTAATTATTGTGTAGATGGGAATTAACTCTCAAGACAGGGTGGGACCTGGACAGTACAGGCACTGCTAGGCCTTTCCAAAGTCCTGAGAGGAGAAGAGGGCAGGGGAGCGAGGCAACCATGCAGAGCAGACTGAGTAGCATGGTCAGCAAAAGGGAGGAAAAGCAAGGTGGGGGTACTGGAAGCAAGGGAGAAGGGCTTCCAGAAGAGGGACAATGTCACTCAAGGCTGCAACCAAGGAAGATGACTTTTTTTTTTTTTTTTTTTGTGGTGCTGGGGATTGAACCCATGGCCTTGTGCATGTGAGGAAAGCACTGTACCAACTGAGCCCCAAGGAAGGTGACTTCTGTCTGACAAGGGATTATTGGGTTTAGCAGCTGGGAAGGAATTAAGAAACTCTGCTAAGTGGAGCAGTAGAGACAGAAATCAAGATGGCATGGGTTCAAAGAGGACTGGGAGGAGGGGAGGACAGCAGCTGTGGCACAAGCAGCTCTTTTAAGAAGTGTTGCTCAAAGTGAGGAATTTAAAGGCCCAGGAGCTTAAGGAGAAAGCAGAAAACAATGTGAGAGACTGTGGAAGGAGAGAGCTCAGTGCAAACCCATTAGCACTGTGGCTAAAATAATTCAGTTTTGGGGGCTGGGGATGTGGCTCAAGTGGTAGTGCGCTTGCCTGGCATGCATGCGGCCCGGGTTCGATCCTCAGCACCACATACAAACAAAGATGTTGTGTCTGCCGAAAACTTAAAGAAAGATAAATATTAAAATTCTCTCTCTCTAAAAAAAAAAATAATAATAATAATTCAGTTTCAGTTTAGGGATGGTCCCCCAGACTATCCTCAAGACAGGGCAGCCTTAAAATAATCATCTGGAGCACTGTTTTCTATGGAATCAGGACACAATTCCTGGGGCTGGGCTCTTTTCTTTCCCATGCCTATCTGGCATCTATAAAATGAATTGACAATGAATTCCCATGACACTATCATGGGCCAAAGGATAGCCACACCCTTCCCTAATATTACAGGGGTTGAGATCTTTTTTGCCTTCTGGAGGGGGCCAGGCTATTTAATCCTGACCCACTCAGCCCATACTTCTGGTCTAGGAATTGTTCTACTCCAGGGTGGGGGTCAAGTCAGGCTTTGGGGGCCCTGATTTATCTCTCAATAAAGTGTTGGAACTTTTTGAGGAATTCTCTCAGGTCTGAGCTCACCCACGTCAACAGGGTAGGGCTTGCTACTTTGCATTTACTGCCTGGGAAGGGTGGCAGAGTTAGAGAAGTTAGAGATGGGAAGAGAACCAAGGGGAAGTCCTAGTTTCACCTGCTATGCCCAGTGCATGCATGATGTTTAATGCTCATAAAAGACAGAGAAGCACATGTTATTACTTGTGGGAGGCCATCCTCGCACGTGATTTGAGTTACTTCCCTGGCTGGGTGAGAGGCGCTTAGACACAGCTGTATTAGAGCTTTCCCCACCCTTTCCCAGGTCTGAGGGCTTGTCCGTGCAGAGGCGTGCCTGTCCACTGCCCTGAAGACCCAACCGTCGCCCCTGACCTTGGGATGCTGCCCCCCTTAACCTTCATTGCATGGGATTTTTCCTGGAATTTTTTGTTCCCCAATAAAAGTCCACTCCCTGGCGTTCTCTCTCTCTCTCTCTCTCTCTGTCGATAGTCTCTTTTGTAAACCTCCCTATCGCTTTAGGTGGCTGGAGGTGGGAGCTAGAAGAAGCCTTCCAGGAGCTGGCATTAAAGGTACTGAGTCTTGATTCTTTAATTTAAAACTCCCCAGCAGTTACTCATGAATCGCACCTTCTTTCATTCGCGTTGCAGAATTACTCCCATTTATCAGATACGGAAAGTGCCTTCTGACTCAGGACGCTTATGGGGAAGAGGTGTTTAATAGGTTGATTTGATGGCCCTTGATGTTGAGTCACCTTAACCCACCCTAGAAAACAGGATTCAAAGGCCCAGCGGTGGGGATCAAACTGAGGCATGCCAGGCGAGGCTTCTACCACTGAGCTACACTTTCAGCCCTGAAGCTTACTCTTAGGGGCTGTGCTCTGCCCTGGGAGATGCAGATCGTGCCTAAGGGCTGCTTTCACTCTCTCGGGTTCTGCAGAAGCATCCAGGATGAGGCACAGCTCTTTCCTCGCTCCTGGTAGAGCATAAATGGATCGCTCAAACCGTCCCAGGGAGCTTCCGTTTTGTGAGCTCTATTTTCTTAAATGAGTACAAATCCACGTTCAATGTAGAAAACGTAATAAAGCAACTGCTTAGCAGGTAAACGGCTGTTGTGCTAGCATGTAGGGGTGACCGCCTCTTCCTCCTTCGGTGGCAGGGCGACAGGCTTCAGGCTGCTCCGCGCAGCACGTGCACCCCAAGCTGGCGCTGGGTGCCTCCAGGATGTGTTTCTGGAGTCCGGCCGGGCGGCGCGGTCCGGTGCGCCCTCGGGTCCGTGGCCCACTGGGGCACTCAGCGCCGCTGCGGCGAAGTCCGGTCCCTGCTATGGCCACGCGCTCCGCAGTAGCAGCCCCGCGTCCCCCTTAGGAAGAGGCTTCTCGCGACCTCGTGGCTCCCCTGGGGGCACCGCTGGGGCGCGGGGGCAGGGCGGGCAGCTCTCGGCTGCGCGCCGGCACTCGGGGCCCTCCCTGCTGACCTCACCCGGAGCCCGGCCCGGCAGCGAATCGCCGCGCGGGCGCAGGGAACGCCCCGCACTCACTCGGCCGCGGCGCAGGAAGACAGCGCCCGCGCCCGCCGGGCTCTGCGACCTGGCTACCGGTCGGCGCGCTCGGGCCGGCTGCGGCTCGCGTGCCCGCCCAGCAGCGGTGCCGCGCAACCGCCCCCGAACTTTCTGGAAGCGGCGCCCCCACAGCCGCCCCCGCCGTCGTCGGAGCGCGCGGCCTGCGCCGGCGCCAGCGGCCTTGGCGGCCCGCGGGGCGGGGCCAGAGAGGGGGCGGGGCCAGCGCGGGGCGCCCGCGCGCGATTCGCCCCCGGCGCGCAGGGCCCGCCTCGCCGGCGCGATGGCTCCGCCTCTGCCCTCCCCCTCCATGGCGCCGCCCGGGCTCATTCATTCCGCGCCGGGCCCGCCGGACACCTGCGCTCTGCTCCCTCCGCCCCCGGCCGCCGCCTCCGTCGCTTTCGCCGCCGCCGCCGCCGCCGCCGCCAGCATGTCGGGCCCCGCCGCCGAGACGCCGTCCGCCATCCAGATCTGCCGGTAAGACGGCGGCGCGCGCCCGCGGCGCCCCCGGCCCGGCCCCCGCCGCCCGCGCCGCCCCTTCCCCGCCGGCCTCGCCCGCGGATGCCGCCCCCCCCCCCCCCCGGCTTCCCCTGTGGGCCGGGCGGTGTTCACCCCTCGCCTCCCGGCGCCGATGCCCGGAACCCCCTCCCTGGCAGGGATGCGCCTCGCGATGCTGCGGAACCGGGCGGCCCCGTCGGCTCCTCCCATCGGCCTCCCAGCCGCATCCCAAGGGCGGCGGCCGCCGTCACCCGGCTTAGGGTGGAGGAAGCGGGACCGGACCGGGCCGGCGACGGGCGGGGGCGGCGCACAGCCCTGGTGGCGTGCCCAACTCGCCGCGCCCCGGGCCCCGCGCCCCAGCCCCGGCTCCTGCAGGATTCGGGAGGTTACCTCGGCCGCGGTGCCTGAGCGAACCTGAGCATCCAGAGATGCACGTAGATGCCGGGAGTCGTTCGAGCTCGTGGGTGTGTACCCCTGTGGGAGGGGGCTGCAGATCTACCATCTCTGAAGTGCTCTGCTTTGGTGGAGGGGAGAGCAGGTGTTGTTAAAACGAGGAACAGGTACTGCTCTTCTTCTCTAGCGGTTCACTGCTCAGCAAAGGGAATGAGTGGTGCATCCGCCTGGAAGAATCTTACACAATAGGGGCAAGTATTGTTGTAATAATGCTCCATTCCCCCATCCTTCCTCCATGGGTCCAGCTTAGATAGAACCGGAACCCCCAGAGGAAGCTGGAGATCATGAGCGAACTGGTTTCTCATAGGAGCGGGGAGGGCAGCCTCAAGGTTACTCTGCGTCTGGCAGAATGGAAGCCGGGGAAAGCTGGCATTTGTGCATGAGCTAAGTAAGGACCAGGAGTCTGGCCACTGTGGCCACCTGCCATGGACCCCTAGTGAGAGTTTTGGGGGTGGGTGCCTCAAATGCAGAAGTTGGGCATCCCGTTGACCTTGGGCCCAAACCATACTCCAATGGGACAGGTTACTTTTCCTGTGGATGTTATAAAAGGCTGGGTGTATGGTAAGTGCTGTTAAGTGGAGCTCAGTTAGCCTTCTGTCTTGGCTGAGGTCCTTTTCCCACTTCAAGGTCAGTTTTGATTTTCCTAGAGGGAAGTCTTTGGGGAAGCCCTGATTAATTTTCTTTGTTAGGTGGCTCTCCTGGCCCCACTCACTCCAGCCCTTCAGGGGCAAAGGTGATAGCAATTACTGATATTTGGATGTAGATGGGCCTGGAATCAGGTCTTCTTATCAGGCTGATTTAGGGGCATCTTCGGCTTCATTGTTTACAAGAAGGTTTTTAGCTGTCTCATCTCAAAATTTGCCCAGCTTTCCTTGGAGGGGGGTGGGTGGGTACCTCCACCCCTCCTGCTGTGTAGAGGAGGAAATGGAGTAACTCAATAAACTCATCCAGCTCCAGAGCTCTGGAGGCAGGTCCCGCCCCGGTCTTCTGATTACTGTGTTCTTCCACTCCTCTGGCAAATAAAGAAAATAGTGGTCTGAATCTACCCTAGAAGGGCTGGGCTCTTATTTACTTCTTATCAGGGTGATGATTAGCAGTCAATAATACTTTTTTTCAACTAGCTTCGAATAGTTTTTCTCCAGCATTAGACACTTGCATAAATTGACAAGCACATGTGTGTACTTTTTCTTACCCATTGCTTCTACAAGATTGCCTTTTGCTACCCCAGAATGACAGACGCATATTGTCCCTAAGTGGCAGCCTTGGCTGAGGGATGCCAGAGCAGGATCCTGGCTGAGGTGAGCCTCAGGCAAAGAACATGAATGCCAAGGGAAGGGAGTGGAAAGGGTGGTGGTCACTCTGGCTTGCCCCTTGGAAACCCTGGACACCGGAGAGTGGGTATAGCAGGGTAGGGAGCCCTTTAAGGACATCTGAGCCAGCACCTGAGTTGAAAGAGGAGCCACCTGGCCTGGCTCATCCAAGCCATGAATTTTAACAAGACTTCACTCTTCACTGGACACCAGCAGGAGCAGAGCCCTGGGAGGGAAGCTGAGGAGTGGAAAATTTAGTCTGCCTGTCTTGAGGGTGGTCACAGCCTAGCAGGGCAAGGGTGCCAGAGTCCTCACCCTCCTAGAAACTAGGGTAATCACATGTCTCAGTTCAGAAGCTATTGAAGGAATGTAGCTTCAAAGGGAAGTGTGGGCAGGGGTGTAGGCAGCTCTGTATCCTAGGCCTGAGGGAGGGATGGGTTTGGCCTCTGCCCTGTGGACACAGAGTGACCTGAGCACGCTGCTTCACCTTCAAGCCCTTGCTGCTCGTCGGTAGCTCTGAGTGCCCACTGCTTGGCACCTTGCAAGTCAGTGGAAGCTCTTTATGTGACAGATGGGGCACTGGCCCAGGAGGCCAATGGCCTGAGTTCCACGCCCAGCTCTGCCTCTTGCTTCAGGCACATTCCTTAATCTCACCAGACCTTGATGTCTGTGTCTATAAATTGAAATTGTACAGTACCTGTCTTGTAAGTATTGTGAGGAGCGATATCTGACACTTATAAAAGAGAGAGCCGGGCTGGGGATATAGCTCAGTTGGTAGAGTGCTTGCTGTGTATGCACAAGGCCCTGGGTTTGGTCCCCAGCAACACACACACACACACACACACACACACAGACAAAGGATGAGAGCCACAGCTTGGGCAGTCAGGCCCGTGTGGGCTGTGGATTGCCCTCCTCATTTTGAGCCAGCCTAGAGAGATACAGCCAGCCCTCCCACAGCTGTGCCAGAGGAGGGAGACTTGGTATAAGGGGCCTAGCAGGCACATAACCTCAGAGCCTGCTTGTGGGGAGGTGGGTGAGGTGTGCGGGGGTCGTTTTGCTTGTCCTGCTCTCAGATGCAGATCTGCAGCAGCGCCCGAGAGCAGGGACTGCTCTGTGTGTGTGAGAATGCCTGCCCTGGAGCCTGGGTCTCCTAGACATGCCAGTGGACGCTGGTTGAGTGGTGATGTTTAGTATGTTGTGGGGTTGGAACATTTTCCCTTGGGGCTCCATCTTTGGCTTTACAATGGAATTAGTGAAAACAGAATCTGATTTACAGAAATCACTCAGCTAATATTCTGAACAGTCCAGGAAGTAATGTACAGAGCTGGCTCCCTTCCTGTCGGGATGTGGGGACCCTAGTGAAGATGCAGTCTTTGCCTGTGATCCCAGGGCTCTGGAGGCCCAGGCAGGAGGATGGCAGGGAGGACAGCCTGGGCAACTTAGCAAGACCGTGTCTCAAAATTGAAGGAAAAAAAAAAAAAGGCTTATGTAGCTCAGAGATCATCTAGCATGCCTGAGCCCTTCAGTTCAGTCCCCACACTGCAGGAATACCACCAGCACCACCACCTGTGAGGTGGGATGTACCGACACTAAAACATACATACCTATGTTAAACTTGCAGTTCGCTGAGTTGTGACATGTGTACACCTGTATGATGGCCACCGTGTCATAACAATATTTCCATCACCCTGGAAAGTCCCCATCTGTCCGTTGGCAGTCATTTCCCGCCCTCATTACTGCAAGCAGATCTGTTTTCTCTCCCTCCAGTTTTGCCTTTTCTAGAGTTTCATACTGGTGGACTCCACAGCACCGTGTCTGTGACCCGGCTGGTGTGTGTGTGGCTCTTTCTCTATGTCGCCTGGTAATCTTCTGTTCCCTGGACATCGAAACTCATTGCTTTCCTCACCAGTCCAGGAGCAGTTGGGCTCTTCCTAACTTTCAGCAATTGCGAATAAGGTTCTCAAATGCAGACTTCAGAAAGCTTAGGACTTAATGGAACAAATTCAAACTGTCCCTTGGTAGTCACTGATGTCAAGGACTTTGTATTACATATTTTAGGTGGGATCATTGTTTTGAGCTTGTATGTGTGTGTATGTGTATGTTTAAGACATGGTCTTGCTGTGTTGCCCAGGTTTGCCTCTAAAGCCTGAGCTCAAGAGACTTTCCTGCCTCAGCCTCCTGAGAAGTATGCACCACTGTAGCGTGCCTAATCCCAGCTACTCGGCAGGCTGAGGCAGGAGGATCACAAGTTTGAGGTCAGCCTGAGCAACTGAACAAGACCCCATCTTTTTTTTTTCTTTAATTTATTTTTTGGTTAGACACAATACCTTTATTTTGGTTATTTATTTATTTATTTTTATGTGGTGTTGAGGATCGAACCCAGGGCCTTGCACATGCTAGGTGACTGCTTTACCACTGAGCCACAACTCCAGCCCCCCCACTTTTTTTTTTTTTAGTTGTAGTTGGACACAATACCTTTATTTTATTTATTTATTTTTATGTGGTGCTGAGGATCGAACCCAGTGCCTCACACTAGGTAGGTGAGTGCTCTACGCTGAGCCACAACCCCAGCCCATAAGACCCCATCTTAAAATAAAAATGGAAAGGGCTGGGGGTATAGTTTGGTGGTGGATCCCCCTGGGTTCAGTGTTATCTTTTATAGGGAATGCTGAGATGTTCACAGATGCTGTGCTCTGAGGTCTGGGATCTTCTGCGCAATAATCTGGCATGGGAGAGTGAGAGGAGCAGAGAGGAAACCAGAGGGGTCTAGTTGATTTTTTTTTTTAGGAACGGCAGGATGGGGGACATGGCTCGTTCCCTCCGTCTCGCCACTCTTATAACCTTTGATTCCTTCTACAATAAGGAGTAAAAAAAAAAATCAGGCTTCTGAGCCCCCTACCCCCGACCCAGAATGGGGATGGAGGGCAGGAAGCTGCATTTTCTTCACCCTCCAGGAATTGCCACACTTCTTAGCCTCCCTGCCAGACCAGGACCTCTGCACCACTTGGCAGCCTGCCAGCCCTGTTGACACCTGTGGTACCCACGCACTGAGAGCTTTTGGCCCAGGTGGAACTTGTGCTTCTACTTGGCAGAGGCAGGCCAGGCTGAGTGGTGTAGAGGCATGAAGGTCTGGGAGACAGGGCTTTGGAGGGTGATCCTCCTGTCCCACAGATGGGAGGTGTCCTGTCCCTGTCTCCTCCTCTGATTTGCTCAGGA